CCCCCCCCCCCCCCAAAAAAAAAAAAATCTGGGTCATTTTATCCAGCTCGGAAGGATGGAAGGCTGAGTCAACCTTGAGCCTGGTGAGATTTGAACTGCCAAATTGCAGGCAGCCGGCAGTCAGCAGAAGTAGCCTGCAATACTGCATTCTAACGACTGTGCCACTGTGGCTCATAATCGAAGTTCAAGGGGTATGTAGAGAAAACCTGTGGTTTCTGTTACTGGGAGCAGTTGTGAGCTTATCATACATAACCTGTCACTAATCCTGGGGTGCTGTGGCTGTAGAATAACATGTTTTACTGTGCTAATTAAATAGGGGCAGCTAGCATTGGGAAAGGCCTCGGAGGGATGCTGTTCTCGAGATTTGGACGTTCCAGTCTGCCCACCTCACAAGTGCCTGAGCCAGGAAAAGAAGGAACAGAAGTGGAGGACAAGAAGTCAGTTCTGAATCAAACATCAGTTGGGACTCAGACTTTTCCACACAGCAGTTCTGGCTTCCTAGATCCAACAAGTAAGTAGTTCTTGGTTCTTTACTTTGTTATTATGTTTTCACCTTTCTATCTAGGGCAGGGGTTAGCAGACCCTGGACCGTGGGCTGGTATCGACCCATTAGAAACTGCGTAAGTGATGCTTCATCTGCGCATGCTCAGGACCTAGGTAGCACATGAAACCATCCCTCCGGTCACTGGGGCCCAAAAAGTTTGGGACCGCTGATCTAAGAACTGCTTCCTCCTGATCTGGAAGCAGGATTTTGATTAGCAGCGAGCAAGCCTCATGAGTTGACAAGAGAAAGAATCATGACAAACTTCAGTGTAGATTTAAATTCTACTTCATTTGGCTCTAGAAGTTCTGGCCTTCCCTAAAATTCATCACCATCAGCCCTACGAGTCAGAAAGCAAAGCACCTTAGTTTTTGGAGTATAAGATGCACTTTACCCCCCGAAAGTGGGTGGAAATGTCTGTGTGTCTTATACAGTGAATGTTGCTGAAGCCCCGCCCACCCACTGGCCCCCACCCTTCAGCCTCTGCCTCCCAGCAATTTGCCTCCTTGCAGCAAATAGCAAACAGCCTGGTCAGCTTCAGCACAGCCTGATTAGCACAAGCAGCTGATTGTTGGTTGGATCGGCCTCCCGACGATGAGCTGTTTCAGGCTGCAGGGATTGCCATCGCCTATTGCCACCTCCGCGCGCCCCATTTACAGCCTCCGCATCCCATTTTTGGCCGCTGCGCGCCCTGTTTTTAGCCTCTGCATGCCCCATTTTTCACCCGTTACAATCCCCACCACCCGGAATGGGCGGAAAATTGGGCACGCGGAGGCCTTAAACGGGGCACATGAAGGCTGAAAACAAGTTGCGGAGGCTGAAAATGGGGCATGCGGAGGCAGCAATAGGCGATGGTGATCCCTGCAGCCTGAAACAGCTGATCGTCAGGAGGCCGATCCAACCGACAATCAGCTGCTTGTCAGGCTGTGCTGAAGTTGACCAGGCTGTTTACTGTTTGCTGCAAGGACGCAAATTGCTGGGAGGCAGAGACGGATTTTTTTTCTTGTTTTCCTTCCCAAAAGCTAGGTGCATCTTATACTTCGGAGCGTCTTATACTCCGAAAATATGATAATATTTTACTACAAGATCTCACTCTCCAGGTTTTAGCTCTTGCTTTTATGAGAGAATCCTTGCTGCTTCAGTTTTCCGTTTTACCGATATTTCCCTGTTCTTCAATTGCTCATATTATAAAGACCATTGTTGTTTTTCAATCCAGAGCCAACCAGCATAGCTTCTTTGGCAGTTGTGTGTAGCTTCTAATCTTTTGGCTGGAAACTACTTTCTAGTGGCACTGTTGCCGAGCCTCACAATTTCCATTCTGTTAGGTTGGGGGGGGGGGGAATTTCTGAGATCTGTATCTAATTAGCAACTTTTAGGAGACCAAGGATGCCACTCAATAGTGCTACTTCCAGTCTTATCCCCCCCACCCCCTTTCAAATGTTAGGTAGATGTGAAGAATCAGAAGTGCAGCAAAGGTCAAGAGTTCTTCTGCAGTAATGCTTTTTTTTTCCTGCCTAGTTGAGCTGGACCACCGGATCGACTTTGAGCTCAGGGAAGGCCTGGTGGAAAGCAGGTACTGGTCTGCCGTTACATCGCATACAGCTTACTGGTCATCAATGGACATCGCTCTTTTCCTTCTGACCTTCATGTACAAGCAGGACCAAGAGGAGGATGACATCAGGCCCCACTTAGATCCCGTTTGATTAGGGATAGGGCAGGAATTAGGGAGGAGTGGGGAGGGGAGAAAGGATGAAACATGACAATTGGCACAAAAACAGTCAGAACAACATCTGTTTTTAAGGCATGGTGGTTTCAGTTTAAATGCATGTCTGATTTTCTTCCTTCCGAGATTATTTGTCCTTCAGTTGCACATATCCATTTCTGTGCTAATTGAGGCCTTCTTGAAAGATCATTCTCAGCTCCCACCCTTCCAGCTTTCAAACAAGCCAGCAGTAGTTGTTTTAGCATTCATGTAGAATAACATCTATGTTAAAACAGATTAACATATCTGTTTAAGAGTAGCTGCCTTTTTAAAAAGTACAGAGATTAGTCTGTTACAATGAAATTTGTTTTCATTTAAGAAAAATGCCTGCAGATCTAAAGGAGCCATGTTCTGTGTCCTTTGTATGAGTTAAATTAAGAAGCAAATGGGTAGTCGATTGCCCTTGATTGCATTGAAACTCCGTCAAGTAAATGGCAGGTACAAAGGGTGTAACACAACTCATTCCATGTACTAAAACTGGCAAGCAGTCCTTAATGTTTGGAAATATTGTAACAATAATTTATTATTACCTCTTACTATTTGTTTTCTCCAATGTATTAAAAATGTTAGTTTTCTACAGTTTTTTCCTTTTCGTTTTCTTTGAAGCAGAGGAACATAATTTAAAAAACAACAACATTATTTTCTACAGTGTTAAGACTTTATTCCTCAAATGACCTATGTCATACCTTTGTACTATTTCAACAGAGCTATGGACACTATGGCACACTTTTCAGTATTTTTTTCATTAAAAATAAACTTTTGTGATATCACATAAGCATTATTTGTTAAATCCTGTTTCTCCAAGACAACATACACTTTCTGTTTGATTCTGGCATATGTTCATTTTGCTGTCTTCTCAATTTGCAAAATACTTCCACTCAACTTCTTGCAGACTAAGTGATGGAAAGTAAGTCTTAATTTGTGGTATCAAACAGATTTTAAGATGAGTGTTTGACTTTGAACAATTAGACCATTGTTAAGCTCTTTTGATAAAATGATGCTGGCCAGTATCCAAAGAAGAAGCATTCGTACTTAACTACTCAATGTATTTTCTTTCAGCTATTCAGGCTGTAAATGAAGCCATCTGCTTTTCAAACTGCAGGGTGTTTGCTTCTTCACAAAGGCAACTGCTGCAGTCCAAAACACTTTAAAGTATTTCTTCATTCTTTCTTCAACAAGATCTCAATTCATTCCCTCACATGCATGCTCCTTCATTTTGAATGCACAGTTATCCCTAAATCTTTAAATGTGACACCGAATTTACTTGATTTATATATGAATTCAGTCTTTATTCTTGAAGATTCAGGGAATTTGGAAGAAAACATTGAATAAAATTTAGAAAAACGTAACATGATCATTGATATAATTACCACCAGTACTTGAACAAAAGATTCTAAATCGGGTGTCCAATCTTGGCAACTTTTAAAACTTGTGGACTGCAACTTGGGATGACTGGGGGATTCTGGGAGTTGAATCCACAACTCTTAAAAGTTGCCACGGTTGGAGACTTTTGTTTTAAACCATAGACTTAGCCATTACTCAGAATCACAAAGCTTCCCTAAGAAGTGGCCTCCACAGAGTCATACTTTCTGTATTTAGGGATGAAGCACTCAGGCTGAGAACTAGGGCTTCAGTGTGTTATCTTAACTGTAAGACAGATGGTAGTATCCATCTGTAGCAATAGTATATATATACCTATAATTCTTGCAGATAAAATCATTATGTACAGAACTGTGATCAGGTGACCTGTAATAACCTGATGCCCTTAACTGTAAGTGCTAGGGAAGGAAGAATATGGCTGTTGGGCAAAAAGGAAGTGCCTTCCCCCCACCCCACCCCCAAAGCAAGCCAAAATTTTGGCCAGGTTGAAAGAATAACTAATAAAGGAGAATATTTGTAGCTCAGAGTTGACATGTGGGGACTTTCGTGCTCTCTGAGCTTGCTTGTTTTCTTGAAGACGTTTCATTACCCAAACTAGATAACATCATCAGTGCTACCAAGGAGTGCAGTTTGCTGTCAGTTTATGTTCTAGTGGCTTGCCTGTCAGGGTTGATGGGGATGGTCTTAGAGATTCTTCGATTGGGCTCTTTACCATTGGTTTCTATCTCTAAGATCACCCTCACTAACACGGACAGGCAAGCCACTAGAACATCAACTGACAGCAAACAGCACTCCTTACTAGACTGATGATGTTACCTAGTTTGGGTAATGAAAAATCTTCAAGAAACAATTCGGCACCAAGGACCCCTCATGAAAGAATAACTGGCTGGTATTTTTTACTTACATAGACCCTCAGTACATGACCCAGGGGTTCAGTCTGCTAAAATTTTAGTATTTGGTATATAAACCTGGCTAGAATTGATTCTATCCTAAATATTTTGGTGTGATTAATCAAAGGAATAAACCTATATATATGAATTTATTTTCCTTGGGAATGGTACTCCTCATAAAAGAGCAGATCTTACATATCAAGTGGTTCACTTCTGTTCTATGTCTTAACTCTGCTGGCAGTCCCAAGCAGTCAGCTGTGCTTGGGAAATTGTATCTGTTAGATATCATATGTAGTTAGGTTCTTCATAGCCTAATGGTGGCTTTCTGGGCTTTCAAAGTTTTGATAGCCTGCCCAAGAATATTTAGTCAACAAAATGGTTCTGTGTGTGAGAGAGAGAAAGAAGAGAGAGAAGGCGCATCTGCCCATTTTTCACTTTGTTTGAAAAGCCAAGTACAATATACAGAATGTTTTACAGCAACTCCAGCTCAAAGTCTAGCTGTATCTTGACTTGTCTCCAAATCCCTCTACTAAGCAGTATGTCATTCTCTGCTAGATGACTTGGCCTGGTCAGCTGTTTTTCTCTGATCCACTTTTGTATTTATATGGGTAGGAAAGCTGCCTCTTTTATCTCTGCCCCTTAATAGAACACCCATGAGTCATTGGAGTCTTTCCTCCAATTTTGGTTTGGTGGGGTGGGGTGGGGAGACAGTCACCTTATTAGTGCCTTTTGGCTCTTTCATTAAGTAAAGGATGCAACTTTCAGTTTCTCCTGCATCCCCTTTGTCCCTTTCTTGCTGATTTATTTTCAAAAATGGTTTCTGTCGAGGATATATTTTTATGTTTTCCAGGATTCTGCAGTGAATAGTGGACTTTCCCCTTTTCATTGAAAACTCTTATCGTTTCAAAGGTTTGTGTCTTCTGCAACGCTAGTCTGGGTGAACTATAACCCTGGTTTGCATGTAATGAGCCACCTAATCAGCTCTCCTAATTTGGAGGACAGAAGCAGCATAAAACCAATTGTACTGTAAATATAGTAAATCCAATCCATTGAAAATTGTAAGGGATCTTAAAAATTTTGTTTTTGTGGGTTCCACTTTGATATAAGAGATGCAGTGTTAAATCAGGGTTAACATGCAGCCCATAGGCTGTACAATGACCTGAACCTCAAAGCTTGATTTTCAAAAATTCAGTGATAGAACAATTTATTATTTTCGTTCTTTACTGCGGTTTGTTACAAATAACGATGACAAAGAAATGTCTCTGCCCCCCCCCCCCCAAAAAAAAAAAAAATCTGGGGACAAAAAGGCAAATCAAAGGATTTACCTCATCTGGTGATTCACGTATCACATTCTCAGGCAGTCCAAAAGTAAATAAATCAGTGAAATACAGCAGCAGAAAAATTGCTGTTTGAGCTACACTCTCTCCACAAGTAGTGCTTGCTAAAAGTATGCCAACAAGTAGTGCTTGCTAAAAGTATGCTAACAATTAAACTTTATTTTTTTAGTTATTACAACCAAGCACAAACAATTTGGTTTAAGGCGTGGGAAGATTTCAAGGAACTTTTAAACTGTACCTCTTACATTTAGAAATAAATAGAACTTATTTTCTCCAACCCACCAAATGGCATATCAACAGCTTATTGGGAGGGGGGTGGAATCAGTGCAGTTGTTATCCTTGTATTTGTGCAATGATCAACCATCTGAAAGAACTGCTGTCATTAGGATCTCCTTGTAGATCTCTTGATGGGAAGTTGCTATTTGTTACCAGAAACACAGTCAGAAAATCAGCTCTCCTAATTAACTGAGTTGCAACTGGTGTAATGCAAGTACTAATCATTGCGTTTGAAGGATCGGAAAATTAGAAGGATAAATGATTATCTGAATTCAGGTAGCCCTTGACATAGCAGTTCATTTAATGACTGTTCAGAGTTACAATGGCACCGAAAAAAATGACTTCACACTTACGGCCATTGCATCTTCCCTGTGGTCATGTGACCTAAATTCAGACATTTGGCAACTGACTCATATTTTTGACGGGAGGGGGGTCACGTAACATGATAAGCAAAGTCAATGGGGAAGCTAAATTCACTTAACTATTAACTACTGCAGTGATTCACTTAACTGTGGCAAGAAAGGCTGTAAAATGGTGCAAATTCACTTAACAAATGTCTTACTTAGCAACAGAAATGTTGGGCTCAAAGTTATAAGTCGAGGACTCCCTGTACAACTTTCCATGTTAAAAAAAAAAAGAATGAATATATGTTTTTGGTAAAACTTTGTTAAATTAAACTGGCTGCAACTTAATTGGCCAGGGTGCATTCAAAGTGCCGTTCTTCTAATGCATATAAAACATGGTATATTATCCATTTCTCCTTTGAGCAGCAGCAAGCAGAGGAATACCAGTATCTTAAATAAAGAAAAAGTGTAATGAATAGTAACGGTTAGGAGGTTGGACTTGGAAACTGAGAAATTATGAATTGTAGTCCTTCCTTAAGCATGAAAGCCGGCTGGGTGACTTCAGACCAGCCACTTCACTCTGCCCAACTCACCTGACAGGGTTGCCACTTGAACTATGAAGTGGTTCCTCACAATGGCTACATTGTGGGTGTTTCCCCTCCCACCCCAAATAACTGGAGAGAAGTGCTGCCAAGAAGCTAAGTTGTAAAAGCACTCATTTGCAATATGTTCAAATAATTTATTTTAAAAAAAGGATTATTTGATTACGTTTAGATTTCCATCCTAGTTTTTCTACTATGGGGACACTTAAAAGTACTTGATATTTGAAGTCATAGCTTCCTGAAATTCATTTAAATTTCACAAAACTAGATAACTGTGATATTAAAACATTTCTGAAAAGCCAGTCACTAAAACAGAGAAATAATTCTGAGCTAGATCTCATAGGATCCTGCTGTTCTCTCTGAGCTGTTCCCAGGATGATCCCATATGGTACAATATATGTCAGGAATACCAGAATGTCTGTCAAGAGCATAGGGAATTGCCTTAAAGTACATGAGGAGGAGCCTCTACCAAGACAAACTACCAGGTATGAGGCCCTTGAATCTGGTCCAAGTAAAAAAAAAGAGAAAAATTCTAGCATTGCTTTTTTAAAAAAATCTACTTATATTCTACTTTTTAAAGGCAGTTTACATGACAGTGTCTCCTAATTTTATCCTCACAACTTCACAGTTCTTTCAGACTTGATCCTTGGTCCCACAGTCCAAGTTTAATACTATAACAAATATAGTACACAACATTGTTTAAGTGGATAAATGTGCATGGAGCACGCCAAGCGATGTAGACTAGGACCGTAAAGTAATTGAAAATGGAAGGAAATCAAAATTGGAATGGGACTCGGTAAGAATCAGTTTCTTCGCTGGAATTATCTGGATTATAGGAAACTTATCTGTTAGACAAGGAATTGAAGGTGTTCATGTAAGAGTTCCCATGTAAATATGTACATATTGTATAAAATCCATTTAATATAGTGCAATTGGTCTAATT